TTTTATGGCACTTCAGTCAAGTCCCAGGGAGAGATTTGGACCCGTGACTTCCAGAATACTTAGTATGAGTATTAACTACGAGACCAAGATATTAGGTAGTATTGAGTAAAACAGAAATAAAAGAAACACGAGCAGAGAGAGAGGGAGACCTGAAACTATGATTATCTAAGTCGTAGGCAGGCAGTCAGCATTTTCGGGGATGCCAAGGCAGCAGAATATGATAATTTCAACCCCCACTGTGCCGAAATTGGCGGGAAAAGCATGCAGTGGCGGCTAGTGTGATCAAGACACTAAGAAGCGTAATATTCGTTCTCTGTCACACGACCATTATAAGGTACTTGTGTCTCCTGATCTCACATTACTGGCATACGAAAGGAAGCTGCCACTTAATTCAGTAAAATATAATTTCGGGGTTGAAACAGCGCCTCTGAAACGTCGGACAACTCTTACGAGATTGCACAGCGCAGTATCCCATTCGCCGTCACGAGAAGCTCAAATACCACCTACGATGAGTCTAAGAAGAAAAGGGGGGGGGGGGCTTCAAAGCATGTAACTACACGAAATTCCACTATAATAGCGGTTGCAAGTAAGAAGCACGTGTTTTAGGAACTGATTTATGAAAACCTGTAAATGAAATGTTTTTAACAAAAGCCGGCTGTAAAGACAATGGTAATTTACAAGAAATGTTTTAACATTTCCATCCCTGGAACTCTTTAAGAAATTAACAAGATGAGTTCTAAACGGTAATCCAATATTCAAGGGATTCGTTGGAGAAGAAAAATAAATGTGATGGAAGGAGTAATCTTCATTCAATTAGGTCCCGGCTTCTCAAAAGGAAGGGAAAATTCGAGATTAGCCTCGTACAAGTTTGTTCAACTCGGTTTTAAGAAATTATTTTCCTCAAATTAACAAGCGCCTACAACCATTGCAACTGCCCGTCCGTCCGTCATGCGTCCTTGTAAAACTACTTTGATTCCGTTTTCGGATTATTAACAAGACTTCCGGTTCGCACTTTTATGTTCGTAATTTGCTTTCCATTCTTTATGTATATTCGATTGGAGTATGAAACAAATTTATATTCAAACATTGTCACTGCTGTTCAGAAAACCGGACTTACAAATTGACGCAAAATAGCACAGTTCTTCTTGAGAACCTAACAGTAGTTCATCTCGTCAGGCAAACACGTGGCTTATTCAATAGACCAATGACGATTTACTTAAATCTTCTGGTGGTTAAGTCACGTTAAGCGAACAACCGAATGTTCAGCTTTTACACCATTTTGATTCGTTCTCTAACTCTTAGCAAATCCACCGCCTTTAGCACCTTGAACAAATGACTGTCGGATTAATGGATACACTGACTGCATTTTCACTGCAGTCTCGAGTACCTTAGCGGTGCTTTATTCGATTAATTCCTTACTGCTACTTTGCTGTAAGTCCTATCGAAGTGATAAACGACTATCAGTTGTGGTTCTATATAATTTCTAAGAGTTACCGGTCCGTGATATGCATCTAGCCTAGTAAATTCTGCTGATTCGTGGGTTATTTAATAATAATGCATCTTCTGATTAGACATTTGTAAAAATAATTTTTATAGACAAAATATGTAGCATTCATGAGAGACGAAATATGCACACATAATTTTGGATATGTTTATAATGTAATCAGAAGTTTCAGTGTAAAAATACGTAAAAAAAATCCTTCACAAAGCTCGGAGTTCTGACGAGGATTCTCTGACAATTACTTACGTGTTCCACTAGCGCGTTCAGATTTTCGTATTTGTTTGTAAAAAAATGCTTAAGAAGTCTTATTCGGACCTCTGGTTCTGTTCTGACATAACTTGGAAGCGCCGCGTAGTCTGGGCGCCCTGATGATGGAGGCAGTAAGTACCTCTGAAACGTCGGTAAAGTGTTATCAGACTACAGGACGCAACAACTCAGAAGAAGGTCATATACATATTCGCGGCCGTAACAACCTCAAATACTAATGGCATAACGTATTTGAACATTTAAACTTATATAAATAATACCCAATAATTCAGTCCCTACCTCCAAGAAAACACAACACAGCGTTACAAAACTCGGTCCTTTGTACGTTTATTCCAAAAACCAAGTGTCCCTCGTAAAATGACTCTGTGGATGACAGACGCTAAACGCTAAAGTATGTGGTATAAATAGTTACCATTAACTTAGAAAGAGTTGAACTGTATAAAGCTTTCACCTGAAATCAAATAAGGTCGAAAATTGAATTCTAAAACGCTTCTCAATTCATGAAATCTTAACAGGGAACTTCTGTACAGACAGATGGGAAGTCAGTTCAAATATCAAATTGTAATGAAGAATGTCCATTAATTAAGTAAATATTGACTATCAAAGAGACTCCGGGCTTTAATATCCTTTGAAAATTGCTTCACCAAGAGAGGGAAAGCGACGGGTCTCAGAGCGGTGACATTATTTGTCTTTGGAAAGGAATCCAAACGCATGCTTCTTCTGCATCCAAACTCTGTTTAATGAAGATAATGTATAAAACGTGTAGACCAGGAGTAGAAAAAAAAACATAGGAAACTGAAACTCTGTTAAGGGCGAGTTAATTCACATTTTTCCTCGGTTAAATTTTACGATTAATCGATGATTTTATCAACTTTGGCTCGCAGTCCAGTACAACAGTTTGTAAGTGTAATTACGCGAGTAAAGAGAAGCCATTATGCGCCGCTTGGTAGCAGCACTGTAGACTGAAATTCCTTTACGATCTAATTTGCACATTGTTGTACAATACATTCACTCGACATTAGGTCTTACTCGTTGCTGTAAATGCTAATATTATTTTAATGCCTAAGTAACTTCTATCCTGTTCCCGGTACTTGGTTCGCTCAGCTTCGTATTATCTGAACAAAGATAATCTGTTAACAATTAAAACATGATTTAAGTCACCGAGGGAGTATGTTAATTATATTTTCAATAAATTCTAAAAAGCATATTCGGGCATACGAAGGAGCAACCCATTAAAGTCAGATGGTAATTATAAGTCCCACCCCTTTCAACAGTTAATAATATTTCAGTTTGTATTTCTTTGTTTCTTAAGGTCCTCACTGTAAAAAGGGATTATTTCCTTAAACAGCGTTAACCAGCTGATCTCTGTAACGGTGAAGTGTAATGTTTTCTTCGCGGTACGGACTGGATTCTTAAATATTAATCAGATTATTCTCATCGTAACCATCGATTATTTCCTTAAACAGCTTTAACCAGCTGATCTCTGTAACGGTGAAGTGTAATGTTTTCTTCGCGGTACGGACTGGATTCTTAAATATTAATCAGATTATTCTCATCGTAACCATCGATTATTTCCTTAAACAGCTTTAACCAGCTGATCTCTGTAATGGTGAAGTGTAGTGTTTTCTTCGCGGTACGAACTGGATTCTTAAATATTAATCAGATTATTCTCATCGTAACCATCGATTATTTCCTTAAACAGCGTTAACCAGCTGATCTCTGTAACGGTGAAGTGTAATGTTTTCTTCGCGGTACGGACTGAATTCTTAAATATTATTTTGATGATCTTCGGCTTCAGAGGGTTAAATTTTGGAGAATTAAGTTGAGTAACTTGTGATTGTACTCGCTGTGTAAGCATGTTACAACACGTCAAGTCTCTCTGAACAACGCGTTAGTACCGCAGAGCTGGCTATGCTGTGTTCTTGGTGTTAACTCAACCGTTATTTGGATCGGGTGAGTGAAGCGAACACTTTATCACATCCGGTCAGGGCCGTTCCGAGTCTCTGGGAAGTGGTCCCTGAATTGCGTTCATTGTGGCGATTCTCCGACCCCAGGCGAACATTTAATTGTTTGTGCAATTGCCCCGCGGACAAGAGCAGGCGATGTAATTCTGTACCCGGGGTTGTTTCCTATCGCTCTGTAATGGAGCTCGTCCTCTTACTCATCACATCGTTAACTGGGGTGGCAGGGCAGCTCTGTAGCGCCCTCCTTGCGACAGAGGCCCCTGACACAACAGGGTACTAGTTCCCAGTCAGTGGAGCGCGACGGAGGTGCTTCCGTTACATTCAGTGCTTCGCTTTGATAATGTATGTGTTCAGGGTTGTTACTAACGTATCGGAGGAACAAATCCCTTGTACCCTGACGATGGAAGCAGTATTTTTCTCCCAAACCTTTGTAACTACCTAAAAACTACACGCCCACACAACCCGGAGGGCACAATCCATATTTTTAGAACAGCGATAAAATAAAATTTTAATTTTGCCCTTAGTTTTGTATGGATGTGAAACTCTCTCGCGCTGAGAGACAAAAACAGATTCAGGGTGCCTGAAAGAAAGCTGACGAAAGAGGAGGAGGTACAGGATGGCGGATGCTGTTAAATAATATCTTCGTAGTTCTTAATCTTCATTAAATATTAAGGTGGTTAAACCGTGAGGATGAGGTCTGCAGGGAATGCGGTGCACAAAGGAGTAAACGAGAAATGCATATAAAATTGTGGTCGCAAAACCTAAGGGGAAGAGTCTCATGGAAAACCTAGCAGTAGACGGAGGGACAGTATTACAGAAGTTCTTTACTGGATTCATTTAGTTTAGGACGGGGGCAACGAGTATTATCAACACGGAAATGAGTCTGAAGTTCTATAAGTGTCCTGATCAGCTGAGAGAGAGTTTCTCAGAAAGGTTTCCATCCCAATAAATTTGTCATTTCGTGTACTCTGGTTTTGTACACTTAATGATTTACGTGTCTCAAAAAATAACAGCATAGAGCCCCGTTTCTCTTCAATTCTGAATTTTACATCAGAATAAGAAATGACTCAAGATATATTGTGCACCGATTGCCTCGTCGCGATGTTGACCATGATCAAATAACCCAAAGTTTCCAACTACATTCGAAGCAACTGATTCTCCGGTCGTTACATTTTGGGGTAAAGTTGTAGAAAGAAGAATTCCTCGCCCACGGACTTGTTCTAGGGTCAAAGGCTGACAGGGAGTCAGCAGTGTCATGAGGCACTGACCTTATAGCTGCCGAGGTTCTCCACAACGCAGGGGAGCGACGCATCGCGACCAAGGGCAACCGTCACGTTTGGGATCGGTTCAATGAAGCGAGGTCCATCTGTCAGGGCTGAAACACACAAGAGAAGCAGAGTTATACAGACCGAACGTCTACAGAACCCTCAGAACCACCAAGACACGCGAGTTACACCGACAGTAGAACACAGAAAAGTCACACAATCTGTCAGAAACACGTAAAGATGTAACCTGAACTGTCAGTAATACACAAACATGTTGTCCGTTCTGTCAGAAACACAAATATGTGGGCTTAACTGTCAGCAGAACACTTAAAATTTGTTTTAAATTACCAGTAACACGTGTTTATGCCAGGTTCTACACGGAGATGGCTGAACTGTCAGTAAAACATACAAGAGCTACCTCAACCGTTAAGAACATACAGATATGTGAGATAAACAGTTAGTAACACAAATGACATGACGACAGAAACACACGAACATTTAATCCAACTGTAAGCAACACAAAAATAAAATTTTTATATCTGCACAACAACGTACACGAGCCGACGAGATCAGAATACACAAATGCCATCATTAATAACTGACATACAGAATTTGTAACAAAATTGTAAATCTGTTCGGTTTTGCTACGCCCATTGACAGTACATAAAGCTAATGCATTAGTTAGGTTGAGATCCAAGCTGGAGCTGAACGGAGCCAGCATCTGACAGGCAGTTGTGGGGTCACGCATTACAATAAACTCTCGTCCTATTTTATTTATCGGAAAACCCGAGGTCCGCTCGGGTTACACTAACTTCAGTTTTCCACCTGCAGTTTACACACAAACTAGAAGTTACCAGCGAATCCAATCCTAGGAATTGTACTCTAGACTCTGGGAAATGTTGATGGCAGTCGGTAAGGAAGAGTGGTGAGGGGTGAGGGGCGAAGGTTCGGGGTCAGAGGGCTGGGCCACTTCACCACCCGGTGATTTATACCACCCTCACTCCTCCCCAACACTCAGGGTGTCTGCCGTAAATCAGTAGGACGTAATGTCGCCCATAAGGGCACGAAGAAGCGCGGAATTTCTTTTCTTTACTGCTACAGACGTTCTGTTTCGGGGCTAGAGTGGCCGATTATTTAACACTCCCCGGCCTGGAACAGACGCTCCATGCTTCGCCCCTAAATGGATGCTGTGCAAGCCACCTTCTTCGCACGAGCACTTCAAGCGTGGCCTCACAGGCTGGTAGTGAACCTCGCAAGCGTTCTGAACACAGCGGATCTTTAGGATTTCCACTAATGAACTCATTAAAGCGCACTGATAAATGCATGCACCACCTGTTTTGAGTCAGTAAATCTTCATTTTATATTTATGTGTTCTTATTCTCAGTGTAAACATCGATTATTATCTTAAACAGCGTTAACCAGGTGATCTTTGTACTTGAAAAGTATTGCGTTTTCTTTGCGGTAAGGACCGAATTCGTAAATACTACTTAGGCGAATTTCAGCTTTAAAGTGTAACAATTATAATCCAGTTTTATTTATGTAGCATACCGCCAAGGAATTTTGAAAGCAATTTAAACGTTGTAGAGATATTTATTTTAACAATCTTTACAATGGATATTGAAAGTAATAAATTCCTTCGCAATGTTGTTATATTCATTACAAAACAACATGGCGTTAAAACTTTTCTAAGTGACTGAGTATTTTTTGTTGAGTACGTTACGCTATGTTTCATACAGTAGAACATAAATAACAAATGCTTAGTAGTAACAAGTAAAGATGTAGAAATAGTTTTTTCCAAAACGTAGAAAAGTTTGAAGATTTCTGTCTTCTGGGTTGTTGCGCTGTGTAGTCTGGTCGATGTTAACCAACGTTTCGGAGGTCATACTGCCTCCGTCATCAGGGCGATTCATCGCTACACAGCGCAACAACCCAGAAGACAGAAATCTTGATACTCACCGGTGTGAAAACCTCAAATCTTACGTAGAAAGGTTTATTACAATTCAAGGTCACTGCAACCTAAAATATTTTTAATAATTAATACAATATAAGAAGGAGGCAGTAATATTTTTCTTTTTTAAAAGGGATGGTTTCAAACACATTTCTGCAAATGTCACTGCTCGGAATTTTCGATTGTGCCAACTTTGCCAAACATAAATTAGACCGGAATAACAACGAAAGGGTTTAAAACTCTGGTAACCAATGATGTAGATAATAGTTTCGGAGGTACATAGGTGACGTTTGGGGAAAGTGGGGAAACATTCAACTGGTAGCCAATTTATGTAACTAAACCGTTGAAGTTTATCAAGCAAGAGGAATCAATGTGTGCGAGTTCATGTCATCTCGAACCTGCCAACGAGCAGTCTCTGGGCTGGGAGACAAAGTGCTTCAATTTTATTGTAAGAGGGCGACTCCTTCATCCCTCGCCTTGCGATCTCCCTTCAAACTGTTCCACTTTATGGGCGAGGCTGCGCGCAATACAGTCCTCGAATTGTGATGGGTAAGAGGGTAGATAAAAAGGAGGGAGGCGGTGAAACGTCAGGTGCAGTAATCGATATCTCTCGAATCGAAACCCGAATCAGTCCAGTGGTGTAAATTCACCGTTAAACGTGTGCAGATCGTGAAAACGAGTGCGAGTAGAGAACCAACCAGAATTACAGCAAATTATTTTTACTTGTGTACTCTTAAATATTAATCATACAGCAAAGATATTAATTAAATTTCGTATAGACGTCTTTATAAGGAGAGTTATCAGGGAATATTGTTAATAAAGTTGTGTTCCAGCTTCCAAATTTGAGGCTAACTCAAATTATGTCCTTTTCCACCTTTCCATATGATGATATAATCAAAACAGTTGTTTCAGAACGTGATTTTATTGACTTATAATTTGGACGGCGGTCAAAGTTGAAGAGAACAATTTCACAAATTAGAGCCGGGGGGGGGCTTTTTTGAGAGTGAGTGTCTAGTGATCGTCAAGCTGCGATTAGACACAGGAGATCACTCGATACAAGGCTGGACCTGGGGCTGCCGTCAGCTGAGGCGACTGACATGCTTGTCAGGGCGGCGTCTTGCCATCCAGGACGACGAGTCGCCCTGATCATAGAGGGAAAAATACACCTCTAAAACCGTTCAGCTTATCATACGCGAGTACACGGCGCAATGCTGTCATCATAAAAAAATTGCCAAAATTCCTTGGCAGATCAAGCAGCTAGTGATTATAACTAGCAGAAGTAGTTAGTAAAGTATCACAAAAAGAGACAGAAACAACTTAGATCCACATTTCCTGGGGCAGGGCTATAATGGCCAGTTTTGTGCAGTCCACATCCCCAAACCCGCTGTCTATAAATTCATTTTAATATTATCCTCCGATTTACAACAAGGTATCCCAAGTGATCTATTTCCTCCACCTCTTCTGACTAAAGTGTTACATGTTCGAAAGCCCTAATGAGAGTTAACAGCGACGTGTTCCTCTAACCCCCAATTTCCCGTTAGGCCATGAACTTGCAAACCGCTGATTTCCAGGAACGTAAACCCCGCGCTTAAAAGGGACTGGTGTATAATGTCATGGTTTGCACATACGTTGTATTCGAAAGGTTTTTGTATGCAATGTAAACATAGTAGAAGGAAACCAATTTATGACGAGTTGAACTCTGCAACTGTGCGCAAAATCGCAAGGAATTAATTTCAAACACACGCGAACTCTTGTTTCAAAACAGGAATACACCTCTGCACTTTTTTGTGTTATGTCGTTCTCAGAGTATAAATGATCAGAATTCCCATCACCATGGAAACTGGCGCAGTGCGCAGCGTCCATAGTTAATACAACGTCTGGTAGAATGGCTGTACCATTCATTTACCACAATTCCATACTGCATATACACCAGCAGAATATTCAAATTACAGGAGTCATGAAATTTAATTCAAACAAAACAACGACATTACACAGGCCTACGTGCGGTGCAAATACACAGCAGAGACCCCTACGGACAATTCTTGATACAGCCGAGTTTCTCCGATGAAAGTAGCCCGGACATAAAACAACAGAGCGAACAAAAATCAGTGTTTCAATGTCGGAAATATATGTGAGACTTCAGGTTTTCGTGACATCTCCTGGGTTGTGATGCCATGTGGACGCGAGGTAACGAAAATGTAAATACGAACACTTATCAGTCCTAAAGATGGACACAGAATGTTTTTCCGAAAACTTAGTGTCTACCTACGAATCCACATGGAGTCAAAACCCAGAAAAATAACACAGCCATTGAAAATATTCGGTAGTCACTGTTACTGTGTTAAGGTACAATTTGGCTGCACGCGACAGAGACAAGCGACCGAGTTACGAGACCGAGACTGGTCCTACACAGCGCAACAACCCAGAAGACAGAAATCTTGATACTCACCGGTGTGAAAACCTCAAATCTTACGTAGAAAGGTTTATTACAATTCAAGGTCACTGCAACCTAAAATATTTTTAATAATTAATACAATATAAGAAGGAGGCAGTAATATTTTTCTTTTTTAAAAGGGATGGTTTCAAACACATTTCTGCAAATGTCACTGCTCGGAATTTTCGATTGTGCCAACTTTGCCAAACATAAATTAGACCGGAATAACAACGAAAGGGTTTAAAACTCTGGTAACCAATGATGTAGATAATAGTTTCGGAGGTACATAGGTGACGTTTGGGGAAAGTGGGGAAACATTCAACTGGTAGCCAATTTATGTAACTAAACCGTTGAAGTTTATCAAGCAAGAGGAATCAATGTGTGCGAGTTCATGTCATCTCGAACCTGCCAACGAGCAGTCTCTGGGCTGGGAGACAAAGTGCTTCAATTTTATTGTAAGAGGGCGACTCCTTCATCCCTCGCCTTGCGATCTCCCTTCAAACTGTTCCACTTTATGGGCGAGGCTGCGCGCAATACAGTCCTCGAATTGTGATGGGTAAGAGGGTAGATAAAAAGGAGGGAGGCGGTGAAACGTCAGGTGCAGTAATCGATATCTCTCGAATCGAAACCCGAATCAGTCCAGTGGTGTAAATTCACCGTTAAACGTGTGCAGATCGTGAAAACGAGTGCGAGTAGAGAACCAACCAGAATTACAGCAAATTATTTTT